AGACTATTAAAAATAGTCCCACAATAAATATTCTGTAGTCTGATGCAATGGAGTTCAGTAAAGTAGATTTTATTAGATCATGCAGTATAATTTCCTCTCTCTCAAATATAATAAGCAAATGTTATTCAAAACCACCATGCTGCAAACATTTGAAATAGCCATGGAATATTACATCTGAAGACCCCCAATTGAGAAGCTCAATCTATAAAAGTGTTCACTTTAAATGATTCAAAAGTCAGGGTGTCTTAATTCTTAGTATCCTAAGCTAAAGCAAAGGCCTCCATGGTTATACCTTGACAACTCATCCCATCAGAGGTTCTTCGAAAGCCAATTCCACAGCGGACCACGCAGCGATAGGATCCAATGGTATTGTCACAGTCCTGACCAGCATGGCATGTGTGTCCACCTAAAGCACACTCATCAATGTCTGCAACAAAGTGGGGCATTTAATCAAGGTGAGTGGAAGAAGCCAGGCTAAGAACCTGCTGTGAAGTGGGGATAAGAAAAGCAGCAACAGCACTTGAAAAATATATAAGAGCAAGAATGCTGATTTTTTTGGTTGAGTCATTTCAGGTGGGTTAGATGGCTGACAAGCTCACAGTAGCATAGTGTGATATCGTCACTGACCAATCCAGCCATTAGACCACTTATAGATTAGGTGTTTTAAAAAAGTTACTTGTCCTTTCTGAGATCCCAGTGTTCTGTAAAATCGGAACAATAATATCTATCTCTCAGTATTGCTTTACAAATGAAAGGAAATAATGTCCAGTGCCTACTGGGCTCTCCATAAATGTTATTCCTCTCGCCTCCTATCCCCCGACTCTTTCTCTCTTTTGCATTTAGAAGGGGACCGCCTTGGCACAGAGGGAGAAATCCTTTCTGCGTTTCATTATTTTTTAATTATAAAACTAGATCATTACACAATTGTAACTGAAGCATATCTAGTGTCTGATAGAAAAATGTTTTTTTTTTTTGTTAATGTTCTCAAAGTGCTAGCAGGATTGTGCAATTTAATTGAATTCTTTATAACCAACCTCCTTAGTTTTATAATTGTAAGATGAGTAGAGTGATGGTCCTGATGCCTCTCCTCACTGTGATATAAGGAGTGAGAGAGTCACTACAGGCACCCATATGAAGGGCCCCATATGAAGGCCGTGTGTGGGCAATATTAAGATCTTCCTGTCTGTTGCCAAGTGTGGGGGGAGGGGTGAGAGGGGGCAAAAGAGTAGAAAAGAAGAGTGTTGGTCTACCACACTCTCTCTAGGTTGCGACTGTCATGACCTTTGCTGAAATATGTTCATTAGACTCAGGGTTGTGAATAAAGACCTTGACAAGTTCTTCCATCAGCAGCGATGGTGAGGCCTTTAGGGCAGGAGCAATAATAGGTCCCCATGGCATTGTGGCAGATATGGGAGCAGGGCTTCCCTGTTGCACATTCATCTTCATCTGAAAGAGGAAACAAAGGGCCCAATTGGTACATGAACACCCTGCTTTCTAGGAGTTATTATCGTCAGTGTTTAAAGAGGCCAAGGAATTGAGTCACATAGACCAGAAAATGCTCTCTAACATGGGAATGCTGATTAAAAATTAATGCCGAGACACCCAAATTATCTTTGATAGTGAATAGATGTTTAGATTGATTCTAAAACAATGATGATGATAACTAAGATATAACAACCATTTACTGGAGCTAACCTCTTTTTACCTACCTGAACTCATTGCACACAGTGTTCCTAGGAGATAAGTTGTTTTTTGTAAAGCCTCACCAGAGGATATTTTTCCACTGATTTTTAGAGAGAGTGGAAGAGAGAGGGAAAGACAGAGAGAAACATCAATGTGAGAGAAACACATCGATTAGTTGCCTCCTGCATGAGCCCTGACCAGGGCCCAGGCCAGGGAGGAGCCTGCAACCCAGGTACCTGCCCTTGACCTAATTGAACCTGGGATGCTTAGGTCCACAGGCCGATGCTCTATCCACTGAGCCAAACTGGCTAGGGCAGGAGATGAGTATTTTAATTACTATCCTCATTTGCGTAATAAAACTGAGAAGCAAAGAGGTTAAGTAAACTCCCCATGGTTACACAGGCCATTATTGGCGGAGCTGGAATTGAACCTGGGCAGTATCATTTTTAAAGACCACTTTTTACCAATATACATTACACTGCCGACCAGTGAGAGAAAGGCGTGAGCCATTTACTCAACCTTTCACCTCTCAGTGACTCTCTTGAGGTGGTACTTGGGTGAGAAAAGGCTGGTTTAGTCACTGGTCTTTGGCCCACAGTCCTGCCCTGTCCTATGATTGAGCAATTCTAGAGTTAGGTGACTTAGAGCTGAATTACTGCTGTGTCACATCCATGGCAATTAAGTGGCCTCACAGAGTCCAGTATCTTGTCCCTGTGCTCACTCCGCCTCTGTCCTGCACCCTGATCCCTGGCCCTTGATTGTGGCCAAATGGGAAGAGCACAGGATTTGTATCTAAAACGCATACCCAGCGCTGCCGCCTGAAAGCTGAGTGACCAGAGGCACTTCTCTACGTCTCCACCTCCTCAGCTACAAAAAGGGGTATTTATAAGACTATGTGATGATTACATTTCTAGCAAAATGGCAACAGATGTCCATTTAATGGAATCCAGTATGAACATTTTAATAGAAATAAAAGTGCATTATTTATTTCTATACTCACCAGCACAAAAGGGTCCAACTGAGTCTAAGGCAAACCCGGAGGGGCACTGATTACTGCGGTCTCCTACCAGAGAGAAAAAAGCAGAATGAACGGGCTTGTTGGAATATTAGCACTTGTTTCTTTCCAGTACAATCTTCCCTGGGAAGGTACGCCAAGATGGAACACACACATCAAATGCTCTAGGTGAAAACAAGCTGGAATGGAAAACTTCCCCTGTTTCTCAACCAAGAACTAAATGAGTCACAGCCCAGAGATTGTTGGCAAGCAGCCACTAGAAACAGATGTTCTGTTTAAGTTGTTTATATTAATCAAAAGAAAATTACATTATTCATTGATAATGAAAAAGGACCCAAGGTTAATATGTACTCCACGAATAACCAAGGTGAAGGCGTATTTGTCCAGCCATTGCTGTTTGTTCTAGAAGTGGGGATGCTATTTTCAAGCCACTGAGAAAAAGACCGTGAAAAACAGAGACTCTAATGAAGAAATCCACTCTTTCTGTGAATCTCCTCCATTTGTCAAGTGGGGCTCCCAGGTCAAAGGCCCTACATGCTGACCAAGAGTTCTCCTTTTCCATGTAGTCAGAGCAAAGGGCCAATGGGCATATTATGATAGAACAGAATTCAAGTTAGAGTCAGAAAAGACAACATACTAACAAAAATAAACAGGTTAGTCAGGGAATCTCTTTCCTTAGAAAGTAACAGGGTCTTGACTGTTTTAAGCGGTTTAGCAAATATTTTTCAAACATTAGTGACCTGAAAAAAATGAGATGAAACTCATCTTTCAAGTTTCCAAAATAATGAATGTGTACCTAGCTTCTAAGTCAACCGTTAGTCTAATAAATTTCTCCTAAGGGACATTTTATCTCATTTATATTGTATATTCAGTTCATAGTCAGCCTCTTAGACGTTATCTTAGATTTTCTTTCCATTCTAAATGCATGAAACTGTGATTATTTTTATGATTGTTTTAGGGGCTCTTCATAGAGGGAGTCTGGGCTAATTTTTCAGATTCATCCTATTTTGGAGAGTCTCTGAGTACAACATTGTTTGAGCCTTGCTGCGAACATGCAACTGTTCAAAACTGTTTATGAATGTGGGGGGTGTAAGAAACACTACTCCAATGAAAGTATTTCCTTGGCTAGAAAACTAGAGTCCTATCTGCTATTTCTGTGCCATCTGATTGTTTAGAACCTTAATGAGAAACTCTAATGGTTCATGATCCATTTCTACCCTGACTGTAAAGATGACCCTGAGAGCATCTGAGTCTTCTTGAAATGGCAAAGGAACGGGACTAGAATAGGACCGGTGGAATAGAAATGTCTGGAGAATCGTTGCTAAACGATTATTGCATGGTTACTGTGCAATAATGGTCACCTAGCACTGTGAGTCTCAAACCTCACAACTCCTCTACTCTTACCATAATTAATTTTCTGACGAGGAATTAGAGTCTGAGGTTATGCAAATTGCCTCAAGTCAAAGATCTAACATAAGCCGGAACAAGAATTTAGATGCAAATCTGCTTGACTTTCAACCACGGAAATCAAGAATATAACTCGGGTGGTGATTGTAATGCATGCTTCCTTTCTACTTATTCACTTACTTGTACATTCCTTAATCCAACCGGTATGTTCTGTAGGGCACTGTGTTGTGAATGAAACTGTGGAAAAACTGTGTCATATAAACACAGTTAGTTGTTACCTGATAGTAGCTTTTGAATTTTGGTTCTAAGTGGGGGAGATTTCTTCCTTTAGGCGGCATTTGGGCAGCTTTTGGGGATACACTTTGATTTTTCACAATGCTAGGGAGGATTATTAAAATCTGGGGAGAAGGGCAGACCCTGGGGCAGGTTTTAGAAGAGCCCTCTAAAATACCGCAGTGTGTGGTATAATGATGCAGATGGAGAGCTGTCCCTGGCTCTGATTTCCATGGAAGCGAGAGAGCTGTTTTTAATTATCTAAGGCTAGGACCCATCTTCCACATATTAAACACTATTTTATGTGCTTAAAATATACAATGAATTTCTAGGAGTGCTCCTGGAATATAAATTGATGTGTGACTATACATGTTTTATTGAGAGCATAACCAAGAATTACTCGATTCCTTTTTTTTTTAAAAAAGATCACAGCAGGGCTCTATATATTGTAGGTTCAGTCATAGGAACACTTCCCTCTTATCTTGCATTGTAGTAATGTCTAATGGTTTTTACATTGAAATACAACATATTTTGTTATAAACTGTTTTCCTTTAGGTTACAGTTAAAGTATGTTGTTTTGAACACACTTTAAAATACGGGAATCATTAGTTATGATTTTCATTTTGCCATATTAAGGGGGCAATGCAAAATATTTGTATTAAAAATTAGAGGCCCAGCCTGCACTCTCTCCAATCTGGGACCCCTCAGGGAATGTCCCTCTCACAATCTGGGACTGCTGGCTCCTAACCACTCACCTGCCTTATTGCCCCTAACGGCTTCTGCCTGCCTGCCAGTCTGATTGCCCCCTAACCGGTCCCATGCCAGCCTGATTGACGCCTAACTGCTCCCCTGCCAACCCAATGGCCCCTAAATGCCCTCCCCTGCTGGCCTGGTTGCCCCCCAACTGCCCTCTCCTGCTGGCCATCTTGTGGTGGCCATCTTGTGACAACGTGGGGACGGCCATCTTGTGACAATGTGGGGGCGGCCATCTTGTGATGATGTGAGGACGCGAGGGCCACCTAGGCTTTTATTAGTATAGATAATTGTAGAAACTTTTAAGTTTAAAATTCCCTGTAAACTTGTCACTTGGAACAAACTACTACCAACATTTTGATGCTTCTCTCTCTAGTCACTTTTATAAGCACTCTACAGAATAATGGCCAAACTACTGATCATAAAATCTCTTGGAGAGCTTATTAAAACCAGAGATCTCTTGGTCCTATCTCAGTCAGAATTGCCAAGGAAGAACCTTAGGATCTGTGCTTTTAGCCAGTATAAAGGTTTTCTTATAATCACGGTGAGATGGGCAACCCAGGTTGGTTGGGATCATATTGTATATATACTGCTTTTCAATTATTATTATATCGGGTACATTCTCCTTTGTCTCTTATTCACAGTTACCCTGTCAACACCTAAAACAGTGCGTGGTACACAGTAGGCACTCACCAAATATTTTCAAATGAGTAAATATGCTAAATTATTTTTTAAATCCTTTACATTTACTTTAAAGACTGCATAAGAATTATCATACAGCTGTGCCATCATTTAAGCATTTATCTCTTACTTCCAGGACATTTGTTATTGGCCATTTTTGTGATTTTCTTAGGGTAGATTCTTAGACTGAGATAACTAAAAAGAAGGGAATATTTGAAAGGCTATTGATACATACTGCTTTCTAGAAATGTTAAACGAAGACACAACCTCTGCTGGCAGTGTATGGGATGTTCATTGCCCTATACCTCTCCAATACTGAGTGCATCCCATTTCTAAATCTCTGAGTAATAATTGAAAAATGTGCAGTTTTTTACTTATTGGTGAAGTTAAACAATTTTTCATATTCATTTTGTCATTATTGTTTTTTCCTTCATGCATTTCCTGTTCATAGCCGTTATGTGTTTTTCTACAGGGGTGTTTGCCTCTTTCTTGTTGAATTTTTAAAAGCCTTATATATATTAAGGTCAATCATAGTTGATCGTAATATGTAATGCAAGTATTTTTTTTCTTGGTATATATTTTACCTTCTCAATTTTGTTTTTTCCTTCCATGAAAAAGTTTAAAAAAATGTATTTGTAGCTAAATTTATTTATCCTTTCCCTTTATTGTTTCTGACCTCTCTTTTATTTAACTTGTAAAATTAATCATATTTTATAATTATATTTTAAAAACTAGTCAATTTTATTTTAAAGATCAATTTAAAAAAATTATACTGATTTATATTGTGAGTTGTTTTGACCAGTCGTTTCCAAATGCCAGTGTGCAGACCAGATATTAGAATCACTTAGGGGTTGTTAAAAATACGAACTCCAGGCTCTACCTTTGTCTGGCTAAACAAAAATCTTTGTGCTTATAAATCTGAACTTGCATCAAACTTTCTAGGTGATTCTAAGTGCACTGTAACCATAACTGTAGTCTAGACCCAACAAAGAGAAAGAACCTCTGGTTAAGCAACCAAGAATGCAAGCTTGCCCCCTGGTGTTCATTTAAAAAGAAATTGCAGGTACACAATTCCCAGCAAAATGTTAACAAGCAAATGGGCACACATATCAGATGTAATGTATTCGTCATAGTATCTAAGGATAGCAAGGGGTTTTAAATGTCATATAGTGGGACCCGAGCCCCCAACAACACCCCTACAAGTACCACAAAGACCTTCCAGCCATTTCAGGCCTAACGGATTTACACAACTAGGTAGAAACTATACATGACTTTTCAAAAATCTCCTTAATTCCTCTAGTCCCAGATGATATAAATTATTTTTTAACCAAAGGCCTGTTCCAAGTTATGTTTTTTAAATTATATGGGGTACTAGAAAAAGTAGAAACAGATTAGATTTGAAAAGGAGGCATTGTTGAGGAAGAGAAAACGTAATTATTCCAGTGGCTCTTTTCTTTTGTCCAAGTGACCTGAGCATGACAACAGTAAAATGAAGTGTTGGTGGCGATTTGTGGCTGGAGGAGGTGTGAGGCCATGGGTACCACTGGCTATGAGGCTTCATGAATCCACGATTATCTCAAATAATATGATCACAAGTCCCTAGATTACAGTGATCGCAAATGTAATGAAACCATTATGAATGAAGAAAAAAATAGTCACATGTATAACCAATAAAAACAAGAGTAAGTGGTAAGAATAAAATTTTTAGTGTTTCTTCTGAGCACGATAAAAACAATATGATGCTATTTAAATCTACTTGGATCTATTTGGGGAAAGCCAGCACATAGCAAAACATACACATTCACAAAGCCAATACGAATAATTTTAAGTGTACTCATGGGAGCCTAAAGTTCAAAGTTAAAGTCAAACAGTCTCAACATCACTACATGCAAGTGTTTCCTACCACCCAAACCCCAGGGAACAGGGAATGCTAATTGTTGCGGTGCCTCTCATGACTGACAAGGAAACCCAGGGTACAGACACATCAAAGAACCACATAGCACAGGGAGGCTGCTGAGATCAAGGGCTGTAGAACTATGCTTGGAAAATGAGAAGCAGTTCAAAAATTATAACTTCCAGGAACAAGAAATGACTGTGGAAATCCTGATTATTGCTGCACTGCTTTAAAAATATGAAAACTTTCTTGGGACTAATTTAGGTTAACATGTACCCATCTCAGGAATTTAAAAAATTCCTTGACAAAGTATAAAATTCAGAACAAGAACAAATGGATTTTATTATCCAAAGAAAACCATCTGACAGAATATATATATTTAAACCTCCCTGTGCATATAGAATAGAATAACTCCATTATGCCAAATGAAGCAGCATATTAGTAAAACAAATGTATTAGAGAACACCCTGACTGGCTTTACCACCAAAAAAAAACCCCAGATAACACGCACGAAAAACTGACGTCATCGTGTATGGTCTACGCCTTAATAGCCTTATTCTGAAGGTCAATGCAATTCTTTAACCCTTTTAGAAAGATTTGGACTTCGTCTGAACCAACTTACCTTTGGAAATGGAAGCATGAATTTTAAAACCCAATGTCTCTTCTAACTGGTTGTAGTCCGTTTCCACAGAGGATGCATGAAGTGTTTCTACCAAGTAAGGCATTCTTCCCTGTGCCTGGTCATAGAAAATGGTGTGGTTCCATGTGTACGGGACGCCAATGCCATCAATGGTGAACAGCCGGGTTGAGTAGGCATACAGCTGCCCAGGACCCGTCTGAACGTAGTCCTCCGTGTAATCCTAAGGGGGACAATACAGGTTTGAGGATCAGCATGACGCTTCCTATTTTTTTCTTGAGGCTCTCTATGAGATGCAGAATGAGAAAAAATGGTTTAGAGGCTAAATATTTTCAGTTCTAAATGAAACTACAGTAGAGTCCAAGAAATAAAATATGAACTTCTTAATTATTACATTAGTTTCATGATTTTACTGTTATAAATTATAATTTCATAAGGGAATCAGAGTTGTAGGTCAAGAAAAGATGTGAAAGGGCAATTGTTTATTCTGTAATTTCAGAATCTTTTATGGATGATACACAAAAACTTTCATGCAAGAGTTACTATTCTTTGAGAAGAAAATTAAACAAATGGCTTAAATCAGCACAGCAGTGATCTCGGTTCTGATAAGCAGAATAATAAATCACTAAGAGTTTGGAAAGACTTGTCCCTGAAGATTTTTTTAAATTAAATTAATTGGAGAACCACTGGTTAATAACATTATACAATTGTCAGGTGTATAAGATTATAATTCAGTATCTGTGTACTCTATTGCATGCTCCCCACCCAAAATCTAGCCTCCTCCGTTACCATGTATTTGGTCCCCTTTACTCACTTCACCTTCCCTCACCCCATTCTCCTCTGGTAACCACCATTATGTCTGTATCTGAGTTTGCTTTTCTTTATTCCTTTTTTTTTTTGGTTTCTGTTTTTGTTAATCCTCACTGTTTTATAAAGAGTGGAAAGGAGGAGGGGGGGAGAGAAACATCGATGTGAGTTGCCTCTGCACATGCCATGACCAAGGTGGCAGATTGAACCTGCAACCCAGATATGTATCCTTGACCAGAATCAAACCTGTGACACTTTGGTGCGTGGGCTGACGCTCTAACTACTGAGAAAACTGGCCAGAGCTACTTTTCGTTCTATAGTCCACATATAAGTGAAATTATATGATTTTTGTCATTTTCCATAGACTTATTTCACTTAGCACATACTGTCAGGATTCATCCATGTTGAGATATACACATATGTATCACATCTTCTTTATCCATCCATTCGCCCATGAACACTTTGGTTGTTTCCATGTCTTGGCTAATGCCAACAAAGACCAGATAGCCACTTCTAACCGCAGTGGTTTAGACATTTACTCCCTGAAGCAAACAAGGGGAATGACACAAGTTCTCTACGCTCTTTCTATGGATCTCTGACCCCTACTCTTACCATTACACCAATAGACAGTGAAGGCAAGTTATCTTGACAGTTTACCTTTACAGCGACTTCAGCAGGTGAATGAAGCTGCAGGACATAGCCGCTCACGACAATATCTAGCAGCAAAGCACCATCGGAATCCAGGCCCCGAGCAATATGAGTCATGCGCAAGATTTCTCCTGGGAATTACAATGCGTTCACTTTAGCAGCAAAAACTATATGGTTTGTGTAAGCGCAGAACAGATTTACCTTACATTCCAATTCAGCTATGTTATTTTACTGAAAACTTGAATACACATAGGCAATAAGAGTACTATATTAGCATTGAGTCCCCAAATTAAAGGTAGGCTTACCAAATTTTCTTCTGAAATCTCTTTTTATGTGCCATAAATGTAGGATATGATTGTGTGAAGGATTCCACACTTTAAAATCACAAACAATAGCAAGACAATTCTACAAAAATGGGTTGCTTGTGAGAAGGGACAGTCAGCTTCATCATGATAATTGGCAATAACTACAAGTCTCTTCCAATGTTTTAAGAAGTAGCAAAGAAGCATCTTAGTAAGTGGATGGTCATGACAGTCCCACTGCTGGGATGATTAAAGCTATGCCCTCCCTCGGTCTTTCTTCCTTAAAGATCACTGCCAATTTGATCACCTTTGATGAGGTTTGAATTGGACCTGAGGGCACTTGGAAAGAGCAATGAATAGCTAATACAAGTTCATTAACTCTAAGGATAAAGCAAAAACACATTAAAATTTGCTTGTTTTTACTTCCATCTGTTTAAAAAAATATATTTTTATTGATTTCAGAGAGCAAGGGAGAAATGTCAATGATGAGAGAGAATCATGGATTGGCTGCCTCCTGCATGCCCCCTGCTGAGGATCAAGCCTGAAATCTGGGCATGTGCCCCAAATGGGGAATTAAACTGTGAACTCCTAGTTCATAGGTTCACACTCAACCACTGTGCCACACCGGCCAGGCTACTTCTATCTTTTTGATAAAGAATCCCTATAAGGTATTCTGATTGAATCTCAGGTTTAGATACAAAAACTTTTAATTAATAGCAATGACTCATTTTCCTATTCTGTTTGGCCTTTAAAACTTTTTTCTAAAGGTTTAAGGAGAAAAGATACAGGAAATACAATAAAAAAGTTTTGGGGTATAAAAATGAAAACTCTTAGAGACCCATGTCAGTAAAAATTTATAGGGAAATATAAAATTGCTTTTATATCATTTATGATAAGACTGCCTCAAAGACTTAAATTATTCTCTGTGGGAAAATATATTTTTCTTAACCACGGACTTTTAAGGCAATCATATTTTTATAGTAATAGAATACTAAGCTGAGCTGGCACTAACCAGTTGCAAATTCCACCTGGGTTTCTCTCTTGAAGACTGCATTGGTGAGGGTGAAGCCATTGACTGCTTCTCCAATTTCCTTTGCTGTTGTCCAATAAATGGGATTTAAAATAGAAACTATCTTTCGCATTGCTGGACCTACATAAAAAGAGATACGTCAGGTGACAAAGCAAAATATCTACAGTTCCCTGTTATTATTGTTTCACAGCATGTTATTCATAAGCATGAAACCTAAATAATCTCGAACAACAATAAAATAAATACTAGTATCTCATGCATCTTTAAGAGTTGACGATTGGGGTAGAATTCCTATACTGACCATTTAGTAGTGACATCTTCTAGAAACTTTTAACTGGAAATAACATGATGAGGGCTAACATATACATTTTTAAAGAAGAGGCTTATTGATTACTTCGATAAGTAAAAACTTACCAAGCCTGCGAGGCACATTGGTAATTCTGGCATGTATTACTCTAGTATCAGAGGTAGGGCTATCTGTCACTGTGGCGTTAAGGAAAGCAATTCCAAATTCAACATCATTAATATTTCCAATAACACTTCCTCTGGCTCGCTGGGGCCCACCTATTGGGGGAAGGAAAAACATGCCTGGATAAGGAAGTAATTTCATCAACATCACATGGGAGAAAAGAAGGCCAGTATTCAAAGATGCTACAAATCTTCTCTCAACCATTTGAAAAGATCATGACATCTGAATTTAAGAGTGTAATAAATAAGCGTTCAAAACATTCCACTCTAATGTAGTACTCATCATCCCTCATAAATCCAGGCTCCTTCCAATCTATGTCCATCATAGCAGCATTTCACAATCCAAAGAATACAATCAGCGTCCAGTCCCAAAGCCAAAATACAGTGGGTGTTTGCTGATGGTAATGAAATGATGATAATAATGAGTTTATTGAGCATGTCATGCACCATAGTAAGCATTTAATATGTGGTAATTCTTTTAATCGTATCAAAATCCCATAAGGTGGTTTATGTTAAGTAGCCACAGTTTGAAGACTGGAAAAAGATAGTTCAAAGAAATCGTCATTACAGCTAGAAGGTGGTGGAATGAGGATCTGAACACAGATGTGATTGGCATCAAAACTCATGATCTTTGACCTGCTCGCCTCCTTAGTGGGAACAAAGAGACCGGAGGACTCACCAGCAAAAAACAGCTCCTAAGTCTTGTGACAGGTCACTGTTAACATAAATGTGACATATCTAAGGGTTTTATCGTCCAGCTTGGGCTTCAGATCTTGGGCTTATCAAGTTCTTCGTATTACATACATATTTTCAAAATGCTTAACCAGAAAAATTTGCAGGATATCATACTTTAAACAGTGCTGCAAAATTCATACCAAGACAACCAGATTGAAAAACAATTATAATTTTAAAAAATAGCTCTGCAGTAATTTTATGCTTTCTTCCCAGTGCTCAACAAAATTATTGGTTACTAACAGAATGGGTGGCTAATGACTATTTCGCAATTAAATTGCATGCTTTGATAAAAGAAACATATTGGGAAGAAGCTGATAGTGAAATTTATAAATATTCACTAAGAATGTATTTCAATGGAATATATTTTAAAATAATCACCAGGTGTTTCAGATATTGTTATCAAGTACTATATACTAGGGAGAAATATAAGTATATTCAATTTCAGAAAAAAACAGTAAGTATAGTATCTCACCACTTTATTGTTATTTTTTTATTTCACCATTTTAATTTGCATTACTTTATTAGAGAAAACATTTTGTTCAACTTGATTCAGCCTTCCGGTTCTGGACTTACATTCATTTGGTCATCAGGTATCAAGGAAACGGCAGTAATAAGAAAGAGGAAAAAAAGACATGAGACCTATCTTCATAGAGCTTGTGTCTGAATAGGGAAGACAGATATTAATGAGAATTCTATCAAAATTGAAATTTTACACTAATGTGTAAGATTTACTACTCGGGGAAGTCTGAAAAGGAAGTAAAAATTGAGTAGCAATCTAATAAAATAGAGGTCTTAACTAAGTCAGGGAAAAAGGCAGAAGAAAGGCTTTCCCGGTAGAGAAAATGGCATGTGTCACCCTTTGGGGAGGTGGTCGCTTGCTATATTGGAGAAACCAAAAGTGAGAGCTTAGAGAGCGATGGGAACCACACTGCAAGATGATGCAGCAAAGCAGAGAGCAGGCCCAATCAGGACCTGGTAGGCCCTATGGGTCCTTATATTTATTTCTAGGCAGGGGAATAGTTAGTTCCCCTATTCAGAAGGATCACGAATTCCCTTAGTTCTCTGGGTCATTGCTAACAAGCATGGCCTCCCACTGTGATCTTGGTTCCCCCGTCTCACAGAGGAAGAACTTGAATCCCACTGCTCAACCACCATCTCCTAGTCCGGCCAGCCTAGTTGGGAGCCTTGAAACCTTCTGCCAAACTCTATAATCCAAACTGTCTGTATATTTGGACTTCCTTCCCTGGGGCCCTGGTACCACCAGAGGCTGAGCTACCAAATGGCTTCACTGAAATGGGACTTACTGTCATGCCTACATGTTCGAAGAGCCTTGGAATCCTTAGTAATCAGCTGATATGTTGAGAAGATACGTTGAGCAGTTGACTGATAGACACTTGCCCTGTAGCTTGTCTAGATCCTAAAAATCTTTTCATATAACTTCTCTCTCTCTCTCTTACTGTGCCAAATGGGCCTTCTTGATTTCCAGGGACATTTTATTTCTAAAGCAACCTTAAAGCTTTGGAAAGTCCAGTCATATCTCAAAACTTCAACAGTGTCAAACTGTTCTTTCTGTTCTGCTTCTCGCCTAGAAAGTCTATGCTCTGAGACAAGTACTCTTAGGACTACCCACCATTTAAAACAATGTTTTTATTTATTTCAGAGAGAAAGGAAGCTAGAAGGATAGAGAGAGAGAAACATTGATGAGATGAGAGAGATACATGGATCGACTGCCTCCTGCACGCTGCCTACTGGGGATTGAGCCTATAACTCAGGCATGTGCCCTGACCAAGAATCGAACCAGTGACCTTTTGGTTCATGGGCTGGTACTCAACCACTGAGCCACACCGGCTGGGTAACCCACCATTTCTTAGGACTCCAGCAAACTCTTTCTAAGACCCATTAGTTCTAGAAATCTGACTTCGTTCCTCCTAAATGTTTACATTACTTACAATAGCTAGCCATGTTGTGTGATTTGAGCTGTGGTAGCTGAATTGAACTCCTCCTACTCTTTGTCCTCAAACTGAATTGGCTTCTATTTCACTTTCCACACTCACGTTCTCCCCCTTTACATCTGTGAAATAACAGCCTCCAATTGTGTATTCCTGTTAGATGTTCAGCTTCTGCTCTACCCTCATTCCTCAGCCTGAAATTTCAACTAGGCTTTCCCCAGGTCTCCACACCCGTTTACCCTTCACACCCAGGACTGCTATTTATGGCTCTCCAGACCAGATCCCATCACAAAGGAGCCTGGGAAGTAGCAAGCACAGGCTAAAATCCAGCCATGAGCTTTGGGGGTAGAGCAGCACCAGCTAGAGGAGGGAAGTACTTTTCCCCCAATTCTTCCTCCCAGAGATGGCACTGTTTCGTAATTTGTGGGTCCAGAGTGACTCCTTTTTCTTCCTTTGCAGAAAGGTTGTAAATGTGCCAGCAGTAGTTCTGTCAAAATCTAACTGAGTTGCTTACCTGGACAAGCTTGTATATTGCATCTGGAAACCTGAGTGGCGTCTCCCGGACAGGGGCGCCCACGGTGAGATGGCTCTGGATTGTTGCACAGCCGTTTTCTGGTCTTTTCGCCTCCTCCACAAGAAGCAGAACACGGGCCCCAACTTTGCCAGTTTCCCCAACTCCCGTCCACTGTGAACAAGAGTGGAATGGTCAATCTGAACAAATCGGTCCTATGACTGTCATGTAGGGTGGCCCTGCCTCTGCAACTTTTATTTTAAGATCTGAGAGGATGGCGCTGCTACAATGACACTACATAGAATGCTTTGCTTGTTCTACTGCAGGAGTCGGGGAGCTCACCAGGACACATGTCAGTGTTGCATCTCTGGATCTGGGAGTCTGGCCCCCCACAAGCTCTTCCTCCGTTGGAGGGCCGAGGGTTATCACACGTGCGGTACCGCCGCATCTGCCCTCCGTTACAGGACCGACTGCAGATCCCCCAGCCACTCCAAGGGCTCCAGTTTCCATGAGCTACAATGCAAAACCATTGGACACGTGCTAAACAATGACATTCACTCAACAAGGACGGAAAGACTCTCCCCAGGAAATGAAAGGAAATATACAGATCTATAAAGAGGCAACTTCCAGAGGTAGATGGATCAGCTGTTGTTTTGACCAGAAACTGAGTATACATCCCAGTGACTGTTCAATTCCATATAACACACGTTTACTGAGTCTTAGAGTATTCCAGCAGCTGAAGGATATGACTGAGATGAGATCTTTGGCTCGCGATGAGCCAAGGCTATCACACTGAAGATACGGTGGGTTCAGATGCTGCTAGCTAGGATCAAAGAATCTAGCTTGGTGACTGAATTAAGGCAGAGAGCTGCCTGCCTGCCTCCATAGAGGAATCATCAACATTATTAGCAGTTAGCAGGTCAGGGTGCTGCTGCCTTTGCACTCTGCAGCTGGTCCCACGGAGTAAATGAAATCGGACACAGTCCCTGCCCATACAAACCCTTTACTTCTAAGGTATAACACAGACTTATAGAAACCACATAACATTTTAATGCCCTACATCGAAGGTAGATGAATCAAGTCACAGAATATTATAACTTTAAGGACTTAAGAGCCGTAGTGGAACTTTAAGAAAGTATAATTTTGACTCACTATTTCCAACACTCACTTGGACAAGGGTCACTATTGCAAAAATCGCTCTGGACATCACTCCCTTCACACCTGCTTCCTCCATACTGTGGGGCGGGATCAGAGCAGTCCCTTGTTCTCTGTCTGGCTCCTCCTCCACAGGACACGGTGCAGGTGCTCCAACTGGCCCAGCTGGCCCACTTGCCATCAACTGGATTAAGGAACAAACAAATATGCTCCGTTAATACTTAAAAATGAGGTTAGCCCTCACCAATTTTCTCAGTGGTTAGAGCATCGGCTCATATACTGATGGGTCTCAGGTTCGATTCCCAGTCAAGGGCAGACTTGATCTCTGGCCTTGGTCAGGGCATGTTCAGGAGGCAACCAATCGATGTATCTCTCTCACATTGATGTTTTTCTCTCTGTCTCTCCCCCTTCTTTCTACTATCTCTAAACACCAATGGTAAAAATATCCTTAGGTGAGGATTAAAAAAAAAAAAGAGCCGATTAAACACTAATAACTGCCTAATAATGACTAATAACTGGGCATTATTAGGTTGAGCAATGTTCTTATTGGCATCAAGAGTCAGTGTTTGTTTATTAAGGGTATAAACATTGCATTTCTCTTACCAGGACAGTGTCTTTCATTGCAAACTTGCATCAGTGTTTCTGCTCCATCACAGTAGGAGCCACCAAATGATGGTGGAGGGTTACTGCACAGTCTTGTTCTTGTCTGGGTCCCCTGCCCGCAACTTCTGCTGCACACACCCCAAGGCTGCCAAGTGCTCCATGCTCCATGAACTACAAATATCCCAAGAGATAGAGTCAAGTCACATCACCATGTGTATTAAAAACAAACATTAGAGAAGTAAATTAACTCAGTAATGAGTGAAATTAGCCCAGAATAAAAAATAATAATTAAAATGGAACCAAAGAAAACATGAGTGATGTTCTTCCTTTCTCCTTCTGATTAGATTTTCATGGAAATTAGTCTATAGGGAAATTCTGAAGGCCAACTAATGCCAAAATGAATGCTTAACATTATTCAAAGAGGCTATTTTATTAAAATAAAAATTTAATCAAACTGCCATATGTAAAGACAATCTGACTTTTAAAATCCTAGATGGATGAGCATTTGCCTGTGCTCTGTGCTCTGGGGAAAGGGGAAAGAACCAGAAGCTTAGGAACAAGACTGTATAACAGATCCAGATGCGGTTATGGGCAATACAAATGTTCCCACCATGATAACTTGGACCCCAGATCACAAGACCATGTCTTTAGGCCTGATTCAGCTCCAAGTTTAAAAATGTACTTGTATCTTTCAACAACCTGATGATTTGCACAGTTGTACTCTTTGGGGGAAAAAAAAAGTCTCCATTACATAATGTTCATGAATGAAAAGTTCTGAATAACACACTTACCTCCTTCCGAAACAAACAACAAAAAAACCGACCAGTGTTTTCCAAGTGCGGCTAAGGCCCCCGATGTGGTAACTAACATATTGCACCATCTGACCGCAGGACTACAACAACCTTATGTTTCTTACCAGGTACATGGGCTGAGAATCAATGTTATGGTTTCTCTAATGTGTTAAGTCAGTATCAGGTCATACGTTTGTTTTGAGGGTCATATCTAGATATGGGACTCATAAAGTATGTTTTTGTGGTCACCCTATTTAACAGAGATATGAACCAAGACAGGGCCTTAACGTCTGTGTCTAAATATTCTCTTAACAATTTAAGAGACATCAAAATACAAGTTGAAAACCAAGACATGATCATTTGGTTGCTTTAGAAAAATTTTAAAATTTCTTCTCATTAACTGTTTTCTAATTGAGTTGACTACATGTCCCTGTACTTTATAGATACAGGCAAACACAGTCACACAAATTTATTTTAACTGACAAGAATTTGCACTGAAAAGTATTTGACTAGCCCTAACCTGTTTGGTTCAGTGGATAGAACGTTGGCCTGCGCACTCAAGGGTCCCAGGTTCGATTCCGGCCGAGGGCATGTACCTTGGTTGCGGGCACATACCCACTGGGGAGTGTGCAGGGGGCAGCTGATAGATGTTTCTCTCTCATTGATGTTTCTAACTCTCTATCCTTCTCCCTTCCTCTCTGTAAAAATTCAATAAAATATATTTTAAAAAAGTATTTGAC